CCCCCCCCCCCCCCCCCTGATATCTTTTAAACTGCAGCGTCGGCGTAATGTTGGGCTGCAATACCACCAAACCAGCGTGGACGTGGGTCACGGTATTGTGGGTTGGATGATGTTTGGTGCCGTGTGATCTACATCTATCGCACGACAAATGAGATCCTTGACATTGTTGATTTTCATTGATTTTGGCCAAGAAGGGTCAGGCCAAAAAAACGCTGGGGTGTGCATGCTCTAGCAGCTCAGCTGCAGCAAAAGCAGCCGAGCGATTCTTCTAGCATGCCGCCCAAAATAACAGTCGAAGAGGTGTACACGATACTGTATACTCCTCAAGTCATGCGTTCGCTGTTACGGTGCATCTGATCGCACTTCTTGCCACTACAGTACATGTCGCGCTCCTCACCAAGGGCAGGTCGTACATTTGAATATAAACAAAAACACAACACTATCATCTTTGCTGAACATCTCTGCGTTTGTGGAACTAAGCCAGTCGTCCACAAAAACCGCCGACACCATGTGCATGCCAAAACCTTCCCTACCGATAAACAACAAATCCTTCAACACAGAACGAAATACACAACAAACGTTCAGAGCCAAACACAAGACAAGTGTCCTCATGTCTAGGGGGAGCGAGAGCTCCGTGCTTTTGCTACGATTGTTCGAAACTACTCGGTGACCATAGCGTCGTCCGTTCCCTCCGCCAACGCCTCAAACTCCCCCTCGCTCCACCGGCACAAGAGCGACATCGTAAACGTGGCGATCTTCTTGTCGTACAAGGCCTGCCAAGCACGACACGAAACGTGAAGTTGACACGGGAATGGACGACATTGTGACACAAGCTCAGACCCATGTACCACACAGACGAACGGAATATACTTGTAGAGGTAAAATCTGCGGCGTTTGTTGAGAGGTGTCACATGCACCTTCACGCCTGCTCAAGACTACTCGCTCCCTTACAGTCATCGGTGTTTGCAATATTTCGAGGTCATACCGTAAGGATGCGGGTCTTGGCACAGCGGATGCGGAATAAAATCGGGTTTCAAGGGACTTAATTGATGATCGCACAGGGGTGTGCGGAGACCCCGATACCTTTGGCGAGGTTGAGTGATGCCGTGGTATCCAGCTTTTGTCGCGGGTCACTACTGTACCAAGGTACATAGCTTGTATCAGGGGGTCCACTGCTGTACTTTGGCATCGTAACGTTGTCCATGTGCAAGTGATGTTGTTCAACATTGTCATTTTTGTCAGAATCGGCAAACGGTTTCTTCTCCATCAACCAAGACCGCGTACAAACCACACGAGACCACACGACCACAACCCACTCCGGTACTACGAAAAATATGGACTCCGCGCTTGCACCCTCTGACATCGTAGCCAACGTGTTGCTTGTGTGTGGTGCGTGTGTGAGCACACACCTCTGTGTTGGGGGGTTTCAAGGTGATTCGCCGGCTCGCCGCCTCGGGCTTTATTTTCGCCGCACTTCACTTCGCTGCATGTGTTTTTTTGTTTTTTGAGGTGTTGGTGTGCTGTTGTGTGCGTCTGTGTTCGTTGTGTTGTGGTCCTGATGCTGCAATACCTGCACACGCACACGAAGTGCTGGTGTATGTCTGCTGTGATTTGTTCAGGATCGCCCAAATCGGAGTGTTGGCGCGGGCGGGCGCGTTCAAAACACCCCACTCGCTACTCTGTACTTATTCAGAATCGCACGGATCGGAGTCACGGCACGGGGGTGTGCGTTGCATTTTCAGGACCAAATATTTAATTATGTCCCGCACAGGTATCGGGTACATGGCATGTACCGGCGTCTTGGCACCCCTGTGCGATAGAGTAACAGATAATGAAAACATTTAACAAGACGATCGCAATGTGTGCCAAGACCCGCATCCTTACGGTATGTTGCTCTTGACCGCAAAGGTAGGTTGGTTGGTAATATGTTGCTCTTGAATGCAAAGGAAGCTTGGTTGCTGTCATGCCCACAACAGCAGCGATCCACATCCCGTGTCGACAAGACAACCCTCAACAACACTATAATAAATACTCATGAGAGTCATCGTTCCAGGGGAGCCAGTCGTGAAGTCAGAGACCTGATACTAGCACAACTTACGGGCTGCTCGCTAGCTCTAAAGCCATTAGCCCGTGTACCACCGATGTTAAACCATCTTTGTCACGTTTTTGTTGTGTGAGACTTTTTCGTGGCATACTTTTGAAGGATGGGACTGCTGTTGTTGTGCATGCTCAAGAAGGCTAGTCTACACTCCACACTGATCACAGTTACACCACGATTACTTCAATCGACCGGACGGACAGGAGAGGAGAGGAAAACCGTATAGTGGACCCACAACAGTCGTGCAAGGGGGTCGGGGGATCGTATACCAATAACCAAATGCTTGCACTACAGGCAGGGTAGGCGTTTTCCACGGGTTGATATTCCATAGAATATGCCAGCTGGAACCACCAAGACGAAAGTGCACTCCTGGCGGTTTCAGATCCAAAATCTTCTGCAGCCAACCCGCGGGGCTCGTGTGCAAAACAAGCCGCAGGAAAAATGATGGGTCTGCCTTTTTCTTTCTCCCTCTCTTTCCATCTGCTCGCTTCTTTTTCTTTTTCTTTTTTCTTTTTCCAGTCTACGGTTACCTCGCATAGCGTGCAGAGGCGAGCGGAGTGGCCTAGACCATCTGTCGTTGACTTTTATTGGCTTGCGGACCCCCGGGTCAATTATAATTTTAGTATACCCTTTTTGGGTAACTTAGCCTGTGACCACGGGAATCGACCCCGTCAAGTTTTAGGATAGTACGGACAGAAGCAGGCACTGGGCAGAGAAAACGGTTTCTAACGTGAAGAGAACAACAGGAACAACAACTACCTTTTACCCAGCAACAGCAGTGCAAGGACCTGAAAACTACTCACCAAGAGCTTAGCCCCCTCGGGCGAGATGGGCTCTCCCGCGGTGCACATGTTTATCGCCTTCCGGTTCACCAGCACCCCCTCCTCCACTTCCACCACCACCCCAAGCTTTCGGAACTGCTCCATCATAGACACAGGCCAATCTCCTAGCGATCCCGTAGGGAGCGGGATAGTCGCGTCGTGAACGAAACCGGGCGGCGCGTGGTCAGCGACCGCGAGGGCTTTGAAGTAGGTCTTGACCTCCTCCGTTGGCCTTCTTGTGAAGAGCAGCCCCACCTGCGCGCATGATGTGGCAAACAGAACGGCGGAGATATTAAGGGTGAGATTTGCGCGTGTGTGCATAGGGTGGCATCTTGTTTTGCTCTTGGGGATATACGAGGTCCGGCCCGAAAAACTAAACGCAGGTGGATACATACTACTGCTGTATACATTGCAAGAGAAGTGGACACTCTAAGGCGCAACTGCTGTTGTGGGAGCATGAAGCGAACAACAGGCACGTGTTCTACAACAAGCCGACACGCGTCCGTGACACCACCGTCTCTCAACGCACCTGTCCTTTCAACCGCTTGCTGACTTGTCTCAAGTTGTCCTGGTACTCGTCCTGCTCCGACTTCCCCAGCGCCAGTATCATGACCTTGTTCTTGCCCATGAAGAAGCGGCTGTCCTCCCTGAAGTCCAGGCGGACCTCCTTCAAGAGCTTGCTCCTCAAGTTCACGAACGAGAACACGTAAACGCTGGGGTACTCATCGACGCATTTCCGCACCTCGCTAACGATACTCTGCTTCATCTCCCAGCCCTTCTTGGAAGTTTTCGTCAGAGAAACCTTCTGGTTTCGCTGTGATCGCGGCATAGCTGCTGCTGCTGTGGAGGGTGTGTCCGCTCTCCTAACCTCCACCCAACTCGATGATGTAAGATTTCCGTTTGCTGCAGCGTGGGCTTGCTCGCTGACAGCTCCAGCTTTGCCACTCCACGCGTCCCTGGCCACGAACGTTACACGATGCTCGGTTGTAGTACGCGCGTAGCGAGAAGCAGATACAGTCCAACGTGGGCAGGCGGTGGCTGCTGCTTGAGAGAAGGTGACGGTATCTGTTACTGTCGTGTCTGGCTGGCTGGCTGTGGCGAGAGGCGGCGCAATTACAGGTAGCTCCGCCGATTCGTCAATATGTTTGCGTACGTGCGCACGCTTCGTGGAGGGTTTCTCGGCCTGCGGAGCTGCGGAGCTGTGTCGAGCCGCCGCAGCTCATCCACTGCTCCCGTTGCACGAAGGTTACACGCCACCCCCCTTAGCTACCATGCCGCCCGCGGTGAGTGTGCGTGTCTCTCGGTGTGCTGTTCCTTTGGCAGAGCCCCATTCTCTGCGGTGTGTCGTGCAGAGTTATCTCCTCTGCCGCGCGATGTCTTCGTCTGCTGTCCCTCGCTACCTCTCCTTCCCGTCTTGGTTGTCGGCATGCAATGGCTGAGAGCCAAGACGTGCGGAGAGCGGATGAGGGGAAACGAAAACACGTGCGCACGGGACATCCATACCGTGCTGACGGTCGCAGAGTAACCTTCTCTGCGGTCATCGCACACTCGTAAGGCCGCGTTGGGATATGTATTGACTTGTTGTTCCCGTGGTTCGTGAGCCACACAAACGCGACGGCTATTTAATCGTCGGTGGCAGCCAAGATAGGACCTGCCGTAGCTAACCAGCTGATTTTGCAATGGAATGGTTGTTGGATGCGTTTTGCCACGCACCTGGCTCGTTTCGCCCGCCCCCCTCCCGTTCCTTGTGTCTTCGCCCCTTTGCCATGGGGTTTGCGTTGTCGCCTACCTCCCCACTCTACCGCTTGTAGCCCAAGTCCAAGAAGTGTTCTAAGAAGCAAACTGTCAAGTTTGTGATCGACTGCTTCATCCCCGTGGAGGACCGCGTCCTCGACCCCTCGTCCTTCGAGAAGTTCTTGCACGACCGCATCAAGGTCAACGGCAAGGCCGGCCAGCTGGGCGATGCCGTCACCATCGCCAGGGAGAAGGTGTGAGCGCGTCCTAGATAACGTTTCCTGTGTGTGCATGATACTGGACAAGGTGGTCTGGCATGTACCACCGCTCTCCTACTACGACAGTCCCGGCTGTGATGCCTGGTGTCCAATGTATGAAACCCATTACAATCCCCTTTCCACCGATACTCGAGCAAGGTGCAACATCATGATCTCGTTATTGCATTGTTGAGCTGTACGTGCCTCCTCGCCTGCTGTGCATACCGTACACTGTACGGTATTCCGGAGTGGTACAGCAGTATGCAAAATATCCACATTTTTTTGGTTTGCGTGCACTGTTCTGTGTGTTGAGTTTGTTCGCCCTCAACGAAAAGGTCACTGATTGCCCCATTTGCTGCATGGTGCACGGTTCAGTTGGTAACCTGGGAACTCTCACACGTTCCGGATGCGAGTTGGAATTCCAGCCTAGTCACACGAATTGAGGTCTTGCTCTCGGAAACACCTTGCCACTTGGATGGTGTGGGAAAAAGTGTTTGGATCTGATCCGCAATAACTTAGGCATTCCCCCCAGAGCAAATGTTGAGAGATGAGAGAAAATACGAGCCCGGCCTATGCGTCCAATCTTTCACGAAAACCCGCTTGGTAGGCCTCGACGTTCGCTGTTTTTCTTGCCGGGTTTTGAGTTCTCCGTAGGGACCAGAAACGAACAGCACATCGAACGAGCGTCCTGGTAACATTCCTTGCCTCCCGGAAGCCTCCTCCTCGCACGTTGTTGGAGGCTTTGTGGGTAGGTGAAGCGATGGTAGCCGGAAGTTTACTTCCAGCTATTGATCATTGTGGTCCGTGTTGTCGGTGTCATAGCCAGACATGTTAGATCGACGGCAATGTTAAAAGCCTTCCTGCTGCCTTTGTTGGTATTGAGCTCTTGCCTAGTTCTTCGTCTGCAACACAAACGTGCTGCAGACCAAGAATTACACGCAAGTGCTCCATACCGGCAAAGGGCAGCAGTAAAGCATTTTCCGTTACCCTCGAGAGCTTTCGGGAGACAAGAAGTGGTATCAGGACGCTCATTCGATCTTCTTTTCGCCGCTAGACGCTACGGGGAACCCCAACGCAGCAAGAAAACAAGCGAACGTTGCCGCCTACCATGCGGTATATTTACTGAACAGGAGCAGGCACGCTCGACGGCGGCAACGGTCGAAAACTACCGAGCGGTGTTAAACCTAACCTCCCAGAATATTCTAGGTCAACACACCGACGAGACCACTGCTGTCTCTGATTAATGAGCCGGCTGCTGCCGTGACAACTGCTGTTTGAAGATGAGCGACCGCACACACAAGCAGTGTTTGCCGTGAAACGGACTGTCATGTTCGTGTTCGTCGTATGGCTCTTCGCGCGTGCAGTTTTCTTGTGGTCTCATCTCCTAAAGTTGAACAAGGCACACAAGGCGCTTTGAAGCGCGACAACCGTGGGGTATAGCTGCAATATCTGGCACCTCCCGGCTGTGCTCACTCCGGCGCCACACATTCTGTGTCGCGGTCATGGCGCGTTCCGGCATATGCATTGCGTGGTTCTTGACGCATTCTGCTGTGCCACCTTGCGCAAATAAAAATCATACACATTTACCAGACTGGATGAATGCACTCCTTGTTGTCTGCGGTCGTTTTACCCACTTAGGCGTTGTGCCTTGGTTTCGTCATTCTTTCTTGTCTCCTAAAATACAACGACCACCATCGCGATATCAAACGTGCTAATTAGTCCCTGCCACAAAATCCGGTCATGATGACGTGCCCAAAATTTGTTCGGTTGCCATCGAACGCCTGCGATCAGTTTCCCCCGCTGTGTTGACACCACCTATCTTCAACTATTTTGCGTCGATGTTGATTTTGGCAAAGCGCACAACACCTTTTGTGTGACACTGTTTTTGTCGCCCCACCCACCCACCCATCCCCTACTTTGGCAGGCGCGCATCACCGTGACCGCCCAGGCTCCGTTCTCGAAGCGCTACCTTAAGTACCTCACCAAAAAGTACCTCAAGAAGCAGCAGCTGCGAGACTACCTCCACGTGATCGCCAGCAACAAAAACACCTACGAGCTGCGATACTTCTCCATCGTCAACGACCAGCAGGAGGCGGACGAGGAGTAGACAAGTGTAGTCGTTTCACTCTGTTGACGTTTCGTAAGTCTACAGCAGGGCTGGACTTAACCGGTTACGATGCGAGTTCGATTTGCATCGAGCGGTTCTTGGTTTTGAACGTAGCTTTCGTGGCGACAACGGCGTTGGCTTGTCACTGGCAGTTGCTTTGCTTTGCGGCATGGAGGGAGCAGTGGACATACTCTTTCAACGGGAGTGTGGCCATGAAAATATCAGTCAATTGACTTGAAATACGCGACCGACAGGACAATGCTTGTGCTCGAAAACTGCTTGTGTCGTGCCCACGGTGTTCTTCTGTTTGCGGCGCTTGTGTCGCCCGACGCACAACTTCATGGCAACGGTATGACCCTTTTTGAGATGAGTCAACCAGTGTCTGATTGTACCGCCTGAAGTCGCAGACGGACTGTGGCGCACGACGAGATTATGGTTGCATGCTGGTTTGCTGCATGCCGTTCCTGCACTGGCGACTGACGCACGTTCTTGGTTTGACGGTGCCCTTTGCAAGTGTCTGTCGTCTATGCGCGTAAACAGCGTCCGTGGTGCTCATGAAAAATAATCACCAGTCGCGCGTTTGTTGTGGGTGGTGCCGACACCGATCATTCCCTGAACTTCAGCACAGGGAATGTTTGACAAGCGGTTGGTGCCGACGGACAAAAATTGAAATCGGCCGAACGGCGAAAAGCCTTGCGTTGAAGAAAAGCGACATTGCTTGGCCCTTCCATGCAAGGTGGGTTAATTAGAGGGCAAACGTAGTTCCCTTTCCCACCACTGCCTCTTGCAGTCCATACATCGCGTATACTCGCGTTTCCATGTCTGATCATTTTCCTCGGCATAAACGACCACACACCGCGCAGCACGTAGCTTGTCAGTACAAGTGTTGAACGCACCAGCCGGGGTCGTACAAGACCGAATCCATTAGATTGTGCGCCCCTCTGTCAATTTTAGCACAAACGCCCGCACATTCTTCCATGTCCGTGGAGACTTTTTCTCCAGGGCGCCGCGTAAATCCAAGGGGTCGTCGTTCATGCGGCACAAAACATGCCCTTCCACCGCCGATTCTCGCCGCTCTTCGAACGAACAGTGCCACAATCCGCGCCAGTCTACTACAAGAAACTGAACGGAGCTTGTCCGGCAAAACCTTGTGTGGTCGTGTGTGCACGCGTCACAGCAGTGCTTCGATCCAAACAAGCACCGAATCCCGCATGCCGTTCTATGTTGTATCGGGTAATTCGAGGTTCTGTGTGGCTGTCATCTACGGCTCTCGTGGTCACGATTCTTCTACAAAGGCGCTAGAGAATCCTACGTTGTAGCAACAGCTGGCTCACACAACTTGCCGTGCAGGCCTCTCGGGGGCGACGTGTCGAAAATGAAACATGATGCTGTCATCATGCACATTTTTTACGGGGTAGCATACAGTTTTGTATTTAACTGGCACGTACTGCTGACCCTTGGGATCCTTCCGCAAGGCTACCCCCCAGGCTGGTGGTGCGCACGTTCCACTATTTAGTTATTTATTTGTTTCTGATTCTTCCGTTTTCTTGTATTTTATCGCTCTGCTAACCCTTGGGGTCCATTTTATTTTGGTATACCTTTTCTAGGTACGTTAGCCTGTGACCACGGAAATCGACCGAGTCAAGTGCTGGATTAGTACGGAGGGATTGAGACAGAAGGAGGTACTGGATGGAGAGACCGGGATGGTTTTTAATGCGAAGACAAGAACCACAACAACATACAGCACACGCATTCGTGCTCTCCTCCCAGTACAATGCATACACCGAATCAAGGAGATATAAAGTCCACCCTACTGGCTGTAGAAAAACTAGTCCGGAGTTCGAGCGTGTGGCTTTCAACACCAATTTTCGGACGTACACAAGATGAACATTCCGACACAAGGTACTCTGGCCAATGTTGTGCTACCGCGATACAAGCAAGTTCGAGCAAAACGGACAACTACGAGACAGATCAAGCCCTTCGGGCAACGAGCGCCTCACAGCGATCGTCAGCCTCCAGCATCTGTACTCCAACAAGCCTCGCCTTTAACATCAAATTAGCGCGCCATCACAGTACGAAGCACTTGTCGGGTGCGTCATGGCAAGCTAGACTTCTTTTGGTCCTTGGTCAAAAAGTCGTCTTCCACCAAGTCCACCAGGCCACGTGTCTGGCCGACTTGCCTAGCTGGCCTCAACTCTCCTTCCCTGCGGTGCGAGTACAAAACGTATGATTTTATGCGTGCCGGTGTTGGAAACATGTCCCATGTTGGCACAGATCGCTTCGTTCAGGGCATTTGTGCTTGCGGCGGAGCATGTGTGGGCTTGTACCACAAGCACCCCTGAGATTGTCGCGGAAGCACGTCTGTGGGCTTGGTGATGGTGCGCGGTACACTCAAGGGCTGCGGTAAAGAGGGCTTAAGGACGTTACACCATTATTTGCACAACTGCTACATTATATGGTTGATGAATTTTCCACCACGTGATGCCGCGTTCAAGCCACGGCTAACGAAACAAGCACGAAACAGTTGAGACTATGTATACAATGCGTGTCATGGGCCTCCGTGCTTAATCACACTGTCAGCAACACGGTGAGCAGCCACATGTACTTCGTAACTGATTCTTCAAGGACAGCCAAGAACATTTAAGATGAATGTAACATATCCACAACGTAGACAAGAGGGCCGCCCGGGCCATCCCGTTTCGTACTATTATAGAGACAGATACAACTCTACATCTTGACGCGCATCCCCAGGTGTAACGCCAGCCCGTAGTGGGCGCAAAAAACGGGGGGGGAGGGAGGGGGACACATGCCACAACTTACTCCGAGACAATGTGTGGCATCTACCGTAGCTCATGCAAGCTTTGCCGTCCGTGAACGCCCCCGACCTCTCCTCCCCCAGCAAATGCCCCCCCCTCTCCCGTCCCAGCGCCCAAAACGCAGGGAGGGGGACAAGCGACAGAGCAGGACTACATGTCTTACCTGTCGACAAACTCGATGATGGCCATATCGGCCTGGTCTCCTTTTCGCGGCTTCTGCAATTTCATCACTCGAGTGTAGCCCCCCGGCCTGTCCCTGAATAGCGAGAGACGACAAGTGTACAGCACCCAATGAGTCCGCGAGATTACTGCCAACAGAATGAATGAAACAGCATCCGCGCCTGACCCATCACCCGAGCACCGAGATCGAAAGGACCAGTCTTTCGAGAAGTTTACCAAGCGTCGTTGGCATATCGGTAAGGCACAACTTTGGCTCCATTCGCAAGGAAGCAGCACACTGGAGCTGTTAAGTTCTTCGCGAAGGAGACATGCGCCGTGAATCCATACGTGTCCGTGACGTTGCTCGTGTGCACGCCATCAACCTTGCAGGCCAACTTGTACAGCTCCACACATGGCCAGTGATGGCACTGTCGCTTCTGGCGTGCCCGCTGCGCAAGAGGAGCCCGTGAAGACCGAAGGCCTTGCCGTACAGCCGGGGATGACACACTGCACATAAAAGCTTACCCATGGCCGGTGCGTTCCGTCACTCTTGCACGTGGCAGCTGACACGTATTCTAGTATCCGTACGGTCTCCACACCAGATGGAAGGAATGCACACACTAAACGGGGACAATTCTCGCGCGAACCATGGCCGTCGCACTTCGTTCGAGCGGTTGCTTTCTCACTTGTATCTTGGTCCCAGCACCTCAAAGAGCTTCACCACCGCTGCATTCTCCCGAACGATGCCTTGTGCTTGGCGTTGGTGGTGAGGCGTGCCTTTGAATGCGAAAGCAACCGACGTTCGCAGATGTAAAGCGGGTTATTGGCAGCTTCATCAGGAACGGCGACGTTGACATACGAGAGCAACCTGAAACTACCTACATCTGGACGAGTGCCTCGTCCTCATTCCTGTTAAGATTGATACCGTAGAACCCACCCGTAAAACACAAAAATGATAGAGCATCAGACAGCTGTTCGGGGGTTCACGGCCCGTCCGGTCTCGAACGGTGATCGTACAAGTAGCGGCTACGCATGTCGCCGAGCTATCGCCGACCGCATGGCGACAAAGCATCCTGCATTTAACCAAAACCAGGAGCAAGGTGTGCATTGTTACTTCCTCCAAACGACCCGTGATCCGACATCAGCGCGGTGAATGTTAATGAATACAGATTCCTACACTGCACGCTCAGCGCGTTGATCACCCCTCCTTGTCCTCAACCCTGAACCGGCATGCCCGCCCAATGATACGACACGGACAGTAGTCTGCGAATATTTGGCACTGCTGTTGTGTAGTGAAAGCGGCCACAACTTTCCTTTTGAAACTCTAACTGCCTGCGTTGTGTCTGCTTATCGCATACAACAGAGGATCGATCTGTTCGTGACTTACGACTTATGCTTACGACTTACCCTTCTTGGCAAGAGTGACCATGTTGTCCGCCACCTTGCGGAGCTCCTTCGCCCTTGGCACGGTCGTTCGGATGCGTTCGTGGTAGATGAAGGAGGTCACCATATTCCTAAGGGATACCAAAATTGCACGCAAGAAGGAGGGCGTCCGAGAATGCGTTTGCTGACCCAGCTCTACGCCATAATTGAACCATACAAGAGTACCACTCCCATTAGCAGCACCTGGATGGGTCAACGCTAATAGCAATCGAAGGTCACAGGTCACGTCGGTGCGAGTGTTGTGGCAGTTGTAGTACACAGCAGTCTTTGCTCGACCTCTTGATATCTACCAACGCAGCAGCTAGCACAAAAATGAGCACGTTGCAGCAATGGCATACTCTGCGAGAAGATAATCTCAATGGCGACAGCAGTGGGGTGTACTGCGCTAACCGTCTCTGGGGGTTGCTCTGTCCTCACACAAGCGACCTACAGCAGGTATTTTCCAGACATGTCACCTGAGCATGGCCAATCTGTGACTCATATCCCTCCCCAATCGGTGCATATTTACGCGTTTCCTCATGGTGAGACCCGGATGTTGGATTCGAAAGTTAGTTCGCCACCTGTATGTGACCGTCGCGTCGACGTGTCTGGTGTCGAATAGGTCTGCGGTGCGGGTGTGGTGAAAAGGTTCACGAGGAGGGGCTCCGCGAAACGAACGGATTGCCAAGTGAGGCCGGGAGCTACGGGGGCGCGACTATTTGCAATCCATGGATTGAAAAAGAGAACCACAGTCCAAGCATCCACACGGGTCAAAACCCCGGGAAACCGCCCGGANCTCTCTCTCTCTCTCTCTCTCTCTCTCTCTCTCTCTCTCTCTCTCTCTCTCTCTGTGCCTACCCGCATGTGGTGCTGCCTGGTGCTGTTCGTGTGGTGCTGCTGCTGCTGTTGTTGTTCTGTGCTGCTGCTGCAGGCCCGCTGCTGCAAGCAATTGTTGCTGTAGATTTTGGTCGTAGATTTTGTGAACTATTGTACATATGCATACATACAGCAGTATTTTGTTAGATATCACCAGCTGC